ATAGTTAATCTATTTATTTGGTAGTTTAATCCTTTATAAACCATAAACCATATTCACCATTTTATAAACTTATCATGGGTTTTCTGTGTAAAATCTACTAAATTACTGTCCATCATTGAGTAAGTTAACCATCTGATTTGGATGAGATTTACAGAGAGTGAATCACTTGTTGATTTTGACACTTTCTGCAGTGAAGGTCCTGACTTGGAATACCGCACTGGTCTGGTTCACAGTATCCGTGCCAGCTCATCAGCATATGAATGGCCGGGTCCCCTTCAAGCCATTTCAATAGACGAAAAGAGGTGTTTCTTGAATACCTCAGAGAAAGAAAGAAAAAAAGGAAAAAAAAAAAAAAAAAAAAAAAGCAGCTGATTCAATCCCAGTTTTGGTCAGCGAAAGTTTTCTGCGGGCGTGGAGTCGCGTTGACCTGGTGTGTAAAGTATAGCTTCCAGTATTGATCTTCGCTCTGGGTTTAATAACTCGGTGAGCTGTTCCGGGAGGAGCTGCTGGAGGATTGTGGTGCATGTGTGCGAATTTGTTGTCAACTTTTAAAAAGGGGTTTTTTTTTGTTGTTTTTTTTATTTATTTTTTTTTATAGAAAGCTGTGCTTACTCCTGAACAGAACAGAACAGAACAGAACAGGTTACAAACAGGTTGTGTCGGCTGGGTGGCTTCCCTCTGAAGGAAGGAAGGAGTTAATCCGAAAGCTGCCGGCCACTCCCAAACCTCCAGCTGCTGCTACCTGGTTTCCCCAGCACCGCGGACGATCCCGGGAGTCGTGGCTAACCGCACCGCTGGGAAACGATGAAACACTCCTCGCGTCGCCTCCTTTCCCTTCTGGATGTAGTTTGTTGAATATAAACGACAAAAAAAACCCCCAAACAAAACAAAACAACTACTTTTTGTTTCAGGTAAGTGTTACGCACCTGTTGCAAGGTTAGAGGAGTGACGTCAGCCAGCAGCAGGCAGGTTGTTGTGGAAAAAGGTGTTTGATGAGGATTCTGTTCAGTTTTAAACCAACTGTGAGTGGCACTGTAATGGCTGCAGCCTTTCCCAGTTTACCCAGTGTTAGTGTGGGCATCACCAGCACAGTCTGCTGCCTCACGGGGTTTGGGTAGAACTGGATTCACTTAACATTTGCTGGTTATAATCTGTGTGTTTCAATTTCTCCTCCTGTGGAAGCGTGAATGAGACCCCACACTTGTTACAGGACTGCAGACGTGCCAGGACCCCTCAAGTGCATTAATTCTTACCCCACAATGGAGGGCCATCTCCATGGTGATCATGTGGTGGGAGGTGGGAGTTGGGGGCACTGGCCTGACTCTCAACAAGAGGGGCTTTGGAGCTTTTAGTGCCAGCCCTGCCATACAGTTGGATTGTGTGTGTGTGTGTGTGTGTGTGTGTGTGTGTGTTCATATGTAATGTGCAGAACTCGCAATTAGCCCAAAATGTAGGTCACTTTATATCAAGGGTCTGTGGAGGCTGTTCTTTTTGTCTCTCATGGGATATTAAGTTTGGTAAGTGGATGACAAATCCAGTTGGGATTGGGAATTCAAAGTTTGGTTAATTTTAACTTTACATCTTGCAGAAAGGCAAAGTTGAATACATATTCATGCCTGTTTTGTTTTAAGGCAATATTCTTCTCATAGTCACGCTTATTTTGTAGCTGTTTGTGGCACCAGTGTGTTTGTAGGCTGCTCTTTGGAAGAGCCTCTCTAAAGGTTCATGATGAATATTGAGCATGACTTGTCTGATGTATCTTTATCACTCAAAGTCAAGATAATTGCCACATGGGGTCCAATGTCCCATTGATCTTTGTAGTAAAAGACGTAAAAGAAAAAGAAAGTAAAAGAAAAGTTGAATCCGCAGCCCTGACTGTGATGTTTTTTAGTTTTTTTTAGCATTTTAAACTGAACAGATGATCCCGTTCCTTCCATTCAGTCGTGTTTGAGAAAACCCCGGATGAATCGCAGCTTTACCGTGAGCACCTCACCTGCGGTAATTCCTGCTGCTCTGTTGAGCAGGCAAAATCAAATGCCAAGAAACCGCTCCAACAGGTAGTGCGAGTGTCTCGTCAGACCTCCCCCGTACACGCCTGCCTGACAGAACATGTGTTCGCCCAAGAACAGGTGCATGTAGCTTCAGCTTCTTGGTTGTTCCCGACTCGCTTTTCACCTGTCTTCAGTCTTATTGTGTGAACTGTTTTGACGAAGAACAGAGATGTATTTCGCCATTTAAGCAGAGCGAGTTAGTAGCTTTCCGTGTCGGTTTAAGGTTTTACAAGCAGCCAGTGTGTCACACAGGGTTGGTGGTGTGTTCTGCATGCACCTGCGATGTGTGACAGTAGAGCCTAGCCTCTGTTTGCACCTCTCGTGTATTACCTTTACATTCAAGTCACAGAGCGAAGCAGCTGAAATATAAATACCCGGTGGTGAAAACTCCAGATAGTTTGACAACATTTATGTCTGTTTTGAAAGTATTTCCAGGCTCTTTTTCTGATCTCTATCCCAGTTGTAACTGGTTTTCCCAATCCAGGTGACCAGGAATTACACATGTCGTTGCTCATTTGTAAAACACAAACAAAATATTAACTGTTATTTTGAATGAAAATAGAACATTTTAGAAAGAAAAACAGATATACATCAATATAACTCATAATAACTATTTAAATCGTCTGTCATTATCAGCTGCCATCTTTGTTTAGATTAGAAACAAGAAGTGCAACTTTGGAATCTGGTTAAAACTTCTGTAATCATGCAAATCATGAATATTTTTTCTTGCAGGTAGTAAGAAGAGTCTTTGAGGATTCTGGTTATAGCCACAAATGGTGTTAAACAACTTTATTGTTTTGTTTTTGTTTTGTACTTGGTTGTTTTTTTGTTTTAAAGGATTGCTTGGTGTTTATTTTTCAGAGAATCAGAAGCTCACTCTGTAACTCGAATGAAGCACATGAGAGCTCAAATTGGGGCAATTTCAGACACCTTGGATTATTGATCCATGCAGTAATGTATAGATAATCTGCAGGAGGCCTCAGCTGGTCTTTGTGAAGAGTTGCATGAGTCACACGAACAGGAATGTCCTTTGTGTCATTACTATGTGCAACATGTTTTTGTGAGGCTCGAATGACGTGCTAGATTTCAGTGATCCTGTCATTCAGCTCATCCCACCTTGAATGCAGTGGTGTTCTGCTGCTGTTTATTAGTGCAGAGCAGAAGGTTCCCGGAGAGAGAAAACGTTTTCCACGGTCACATTCAGCAGCCTGTTTTCACTTTGTTTGCATGCTGCGTGTTGATATTTACTTGCACCTGACGCTAAATGTCAAGGTGTCATCTTTGCAAAGGGGCGTGGTTTCCATTTCCATTTTCCGGCTCATTTCTAGTTTCCTCGGAGAGGATTGCAGAAACTGGCGCTTAAATATTTCCCCTACTACACTGAAAACACTTCACCCACAGAGTAAGAGTGGGAGAAATCTGTCACGAGCAAGAAATGTCTGCAGATGTTGCTCGTCGGTGCACAGACCTGGCCGGGAGTAGCAAAGAGAAGAACGCGATAAGCTGAAGGGCTCTACTTTGAGCAGAGTTACCCTGGATTCTGGGCCATGAAAGTGTGATGTAAGAGGCGGGGGGGGGGGGGCTTGGGGGGGGTGGAGCCACGTTGATTCAATAGCTCAACTGTGTGCTTTGTGGCGTGATTTGGGCCCCAATTTGGAACTCCATTGTCTGATTGGATGAGTGCTAATGTGGTTAAGTAATCAAGCAGATTGCTGCTTCATGCATTGCAGAGGGCTGTATTTGAGAGTTGTCTGCTTCTGCACTGCAGGATTTTCAGTCCGCGTCGTGCTCCAAAACATGTTTAAATGCACTTTCTGGAAATGGTTATTTGCATCTTCGGAGTAAAACAAGCCCAAACACAAACAGTTTCTCTCTGTACACAAAACTTGAAAGATATCACCAGAGTCAGACATAAACATATTCAGCAGTGTAAACATGTCAAGGTTTTTTGAATAGCAAACCTATGGGGGGGGGGGTTTGGATGCTCCAGGAAGCATTGATTCACTACAGCCTTGATACACACACGCATGACAGCAGCGGTGTAAACACCCCACCTCAAACCTAATTTGAGATCAACCATAACCCCAAAAACCTTGACTGAAACAGCCATAACACGCTCCGCCCCGCCGTCTGCAGCATGTTGTCCCCCATGTAGAAGGAAGTATTGATTGAACAATTGGACTTCCTGTTTCAAGCCTTTACCCTCAGCGAAGTGCAGTTTTAACAACACAGCGTCTCATCAGAGCTCTCCCATATCATTGTGGGAAATTATTGCTTCCCCTTTTGTTCCCCCATTGTTGGCCTAGTGACTTGCTGGAAGGAGGTTGAATACTGTACGCTTTAGAGAAGCGGCTGCACATGAGTTTGTAGTTGCTTTCATTTTCTGTGACGTGTTTTCTTTTCCTTTTTCGACTATATCCCTAAACTAAAAGGCACATGCTCTCGAAGAGCTTTGTTTCCATTGCTATCGTTTCCTTTTTTTTTATCATATAGGCCCACAGGCAGGAAGTAGGTTGAAGTGACCTGCATAGTTTATGCTGCTCCCTTCATCTAACCCCTTTCTCTGTCTTGTTTTCATTGTCTCTTTCTGCTTTTGGCTCTTAGCACAAGCAGACAGTTGCCCTCTACCCCCCTATCCTGCGCAATGGAATTCACGCATAGGCTCACACAAACACAGACGCTCACCACCCACACACACACACACACACACACACACACACACACACACACACACACACACACACACACACACACACATCTCACCCAGTCCTCGCACAGTCCCTTCCTGCTGCTGCTATTGTAACAGAGTTCATAGTTCTCCTTTCTATCTGGGCTGCAACTGTCACAGCTGCAGCAAGAGGAGGATGTGCGCTGGAGGGTGTGTTTCACGAGTGTGCCGACGCCTCTCTCTCTCTCTCTCTCCCTCTCTCTCTCTCTCTCTGTCTGTCTCCCATCACAAGCTGATTGAACGTGGTCGCACGCTTTCGGGTCGCTGGTGTGGAGTTCGGTGTCAGTTTGTACATGTGGATTTATGGCTCCTCTAAATAGAACAATATAAACATGGTGGACATGTACTCCAGGGTTTGGTCAAGTCACCGGGCCCAGCGGGGCTTGACGCTGCCGGTGGTTCCTCAGGTAGGTCATCCCACTGGCATCAAAGCGGCTTTTATTTCCACATTGTCAAAAATTTCAGTCCGTGTGATCGGCGCACTTTACATGTTTATATGTTTTGATGACAGTCTCGCTTCCTGCTTTGCGTAAACATGTCACCTCTGCACTTGTCTCTCTTCCTGTTCTGCGTAAAGTGCCAGTGATCGGACGGCGCTCACAGCTGTTTCTGCCTTTCCAGACGTTGGTTTTGATGTTTTTACCTTTTTTTTTTTTTTTTTTTTTTTAGTTTGGATGTTCAAAAAAACCCCCCTCATATGGGTTTAGGTGTGAATAACAGTTTCATTTGTTGTCGATGAGCATTTCAGTCACTTGTTGTGGACCCCGGCAGGTCTTTGTAGCAAAACAACCGCAGTAGAGAACTGGCATTGTGATGTGGAGCGTCATACAGGTACACAGAGTGAAGCAGCTTCAAAGTACAGACATTTTAAAAACGGCGCTTTTCATCTGGAAATAAACAAAACGTCCCTTTTCTTCCATAATTTTGTGTTGAGTTTTAGTTTTTTTTTAAGGAAGACAGCAGACATGTTTTCTGTCATTAGGGCCTGATGGTGTTCGCTTACACACTGCAAAGATACTAACAAGACTCAAAGTTTTCAGATCCTCCACTACGTTAGTTTAGAAATACTCCTTTACAGATAAAAGTCCAAACTCGTCAAAATCTATAAAAACAAATCCTGCAGAAAAATTGTAAATGGATATAAATAACATTATTAGATTGTTTTCTGATGCATCAATATGTTGTTCAGTAGTTTCCAAACCTAGGGGGTCGCGCCCCTCACACAGTCATGGGATAAATCTGAGAGGTCGTAACATGATTGCGGAGGTAGAAACGAAGAAAAATAAAGTTTGTTTGTTTTTTTTAGGAGGAACTTGTAACGACTCATACAGTAGACGTCTTTTTGTGTGAGGCCACGAACGTTTTCACGTTTTCTATGTAAAGTAGCAGCTGTCAGATAAATGTGGTAGAGCAAAAGTAGTGGAGTGGACAGGTCTGTAGCGTAGGGTCTGTGCTACGACCTTGGTTGCCATGGCTACTGCCAGTGGGGACTGGGCCAGCTGGACTCTGTCCATTGTAGCTTTCCTAGGGACAGACATGAGCTATTGTTTTTAGGGCTTGCTAGTAAGTGACCTGTGGAAACAATGGAAACAAACTAAAGGACTAGAGAAAGGGGGGAAAAAAATCCTTCACATGAAGTTGCACACAAATTATACTGGAGTACAGTACTTGAGGAAATGTACTTGACATATTTGCATGCGAGTACGCACTGATATTCCCTTCAAAGTGATGACAGTCTATCACACCATTGCCGCACGGCGTTTGTTGATATGTTTTTACAGCTCATGCAGTTTTCCTTTCACTGCGTGTGGTTGGGTTCGGTTGGTTTGTTCCAGAGGATGGGGGCATTCCAGCGTAGCTATTTCAGATATCAATGAAGCAGCTCTTTCATTTCCTCTGTGCCTATTTCTCGTGGTCCCGTGGTTTGTGTGTGTGTGTGTGTGTGTGTGTGTGTGTGTGTTTTTGTTTGGAATCAATCTTGTTTCGGGGTCACTTGTCTGGTTGTCCTCATTGATTGCCTCATGGTTATTTCGAGATCAATAATGAAGCAAAGTCGGCAAAGTGATAACATCGTAAACACGGATAAAAAACACTCAAAGAAATAGATAAAATAAAAAAAAAATATTGTCCTCACTTTGCTGTATTTGAAGTTTTTTTCATGTTAACTGGTTTTAGTGATGTCTCCTGAGCTCCTCGGCCTGTTGGCAGCGCTGGAAAAAGTGTTCAGATCCTTTTATTTAAGCAATAGCAGCAGTACCAGAATGTAAAAATTCTCCATTACAAGTAAACGTGCTGCATTTACAAGCTTTAAGTGATAGAACATTATCAGCTTTACATACTTATGCAGAAAACGACTCCATTGATGCTGTTTTATTATACTGTATATATTATAGTGTTGCTATATGCTAAGTAGCATTTTACTGTTGTAGATGGTTGAGGTGGAGCAGATGTTATTGCAGGGCAGCTTAAATGTTTAATGAAGACATTACAATATATAATTATGTCCTAAAAAACACATTTTACTAAAACAAGGTGAAAAATCTGTTAGTACAGTAAGAATAATGTATTTTAAATTGAACTTAATTAAAGATTCTCCAGAAAGGAAACTGAAACAAGAAAGAAAAATGCAGGATGCTTCACTTTGTTTTAAGAAAACATGTGACCCAAGGGTTTGCATTGAAGACAGTGGGGACGTTCTCGCTGCTCTGGCAGACATTACACTTTTCAAAAAGAAAATATGACTTTACGCACTCAGTTACAGGCTAAAATGACACGGTGAGGAGGTAAATGGATTGCACTTTTCTAGTCTTGTTGACCACTCAAAGTGCAATACAGTACAAGCCACATTCAGCCACACACACTGATGACACATTCAGGGGTTCAGTATCTTGCCCAAGGACACTCTGACATGCAGACTGGAGGAGCTGGGAATCAAACCGCCGTCCGTCCGGGGAGCGAATGACCTGCTCGACCTCCTGAGCTGCAGCCACTGCAATGAAAACTCTTCTAATAGTGACGGGGAGCTTCAACTGTCAAATAAATGTAGCGTAGTAAAAAGTCAAATAATAAACTCTGAAACTAAAGTAGCATAAAGTTGAAATACTCAAAGTATAAGCACATCAACAGCAAACAGTCACCCCCCACCCCCCCGACATGTTTCTCTCTTGTACCTCTGCACATTGATCACAGTGATGAGCAGATGCAGCACAGACACACAGATATCAGCTCCTGTTAAATATAGACCATGTGGCTAGCTACGAGACGAGACTCAGTCAGAGTGAAGCCTGAAAGAGACAGCAGCCCCTCTTCTGTGTTTGTGCCATCATGACGGAGTTGAGTCACTCCAGGTCAACAGATCCCGGGGTTCTCACGGTCAGGAACGGGACCCAGGTGAGAGGAGGGAAACCAAAAGAAAGATCACAGTGTTTTTTTTTTAATCTGGCAGGGGTCATTTCAGGTGCAACTGTTACACTTGCTTTGTTGCATCACGGTTTCAGGAGTGCCGGGGTTTCAGAGGCAGCCTTCCTTCACACGCACAAGTTCCACTCTCATTGGCGTTGTTTAAACAAATTAGTTGTGATGATTGAGTCTATTTGCATGTCATGTTCCTGTCGAATCATGTGGAGCTGTGTTCATAAAAGTAAAGTCACGTGGAGGTTTCGCCAGCGTCTCTCTGAAAGGCAGAAACTGAAAAATGTGAGAGTTTTCACTGATTATTTGACTGGTAGTAGAGGATTCCTCAGCGTGCTGGTGAAACTGGCATGTCTTAGTCTGGAAAGACGAACTTTGACACGATGAGAGCATTAAACTCTTATGTGTGGGTGTGTTTTTGAGCACAAGAAATGAGGCTAGAATAAGGTAATGTTCATTATTGTGGCAGGAACACCTCTGTGGTCTGTTTTTTTTCTTTCTTTTTTTTTTTAGCTGTATACTTCCTGAGCTCTAAGCTGCAGAAGGCAGACTTATATAGAGCTATAGTAAGAGCAGTGGGCTGGAGGCTGGTACTTTGAATTTATCTTATGAAATGCTGTTGTCATCAACCAGAAAGTGACCAGAGTGTCATCTGAAAGCTTGTTTTAGCATGCAGAAAAGTCTCTTTATAAAAGCACACACACTGTTTGTGCGTTAGCTTTCGCTCTTGCTCTGTAAAAGCACCTGATTTTTTTTTTTTTTTGGCCTTTCTACAGGTGGAGAATGAAAGTCCCAGGTCAGCCGTGTACGTCAATGTAGCACAGCTTCGCCAGAGCATCTCTGAGTCTCCCCCCTCGGCTCCTTCGTCCTACTCTCCTTCCTACCTTGACCCAGAGGGATGGGAGGTGCACACTGACCAGGAAAGTGGACAGGAGTACTACTACCACCCTGCGACGGGGCGCACCACCTGGGACAATCCCTTCCTTGACTCACCCACGGACCCTGAGCCTTTCTCTGCAGAGGAGCCCCGCTCTCCCTCACCTCCTCAGTCGCCTGCCCTCTCTCTGTCCACCGCCTCCCCCCCTGCGTGGACCTCAGACTGGGAGCAGTTGGTGGATGAGACCAGCGGCCGCCCCTACTTCTACAACGCAATGTCTGGGGAGACGTCCTGGGAGCCTCCGGAGCAGCTGAGCCCGTATCCCCCTCTCATGGAGCCTATGAGCGTGCACAGGTTTCACGAGGACGGGCCGGTAAGGACGGCCTGGCTGCTCTACTTACCCTCCCTCTGTCTCCTGTTTTAGCTTCACCCAGGGGAAAGCTGTAAATACAGTCTGCTTTTAATGGAATTAAATCCTCCTGCACCACCACAGCAGACAGGACTCATTTTCATTAGGAAAGCTAACAGCACAAGTGCAGGATATCCCCAGTAGTGTCCCTAACTTTAAAAGAAACCAGACATCTGTCCTCATTTTGAATTAACTAAAAAAGACTGACGAAAACGTTTCACTGCACGTCCATATCTTGCATAACGCACACATTTACTGCATTTCCTCACTTGGTTCTCTGCTGTTTTTCTTCACAACACAAGCAACAAGTGACCTCTTTCTCCCCCATAATGACTCTTTTTTTTTTTTTTTTCTCAGCTTGAACATTAATGGGCCAAGACAGAATAATACTTTGAGGCCATGGAAATGCTGTGACTTATTTATCAAAGTCACGGCAAAGTCCTTGAGCTCTGTATCGGGGCCACAGAAGGAAATGATTCAACCGACATTATTATGTGAGATGAAGCAACATTTTTTTCAGCGTCAGTGTCTCTGTCGGTTAATTACTTCAACTGTTCCCGATCTGGGGGTCAGGGCTCCCCAGAGACGATTAAAGATATAGTTCAACATTTTTGGAAAATGCGCGTATTCACTTTCTCATTAAGAGTTATTCCTGTACAATCACAAATTGTAGTTTTTACACTCAGAATTTAATTAAGTGTAGTTCCCAAACTGTCACACTGTTCCTTTAAGAAGATAGGAAAGAAGAAGTTTGCCTATCTGTTAATTTTATAAAATCTAACTTTAGTTTTTTCTATGAAATGCAGGAGAGTTTTCCATCTTCAGGACTTCAAAAAAAAAACCATTGAGTTGCTATATATCCTCACTGTATTTTCAAGTTTGTGAGTGTGTGTGTGTCTTGACATGCGTTTCCACCATGTGTGCATCCCCCAGCCTCCCCTACCTGAGGAGGACTACCCCTCGGGGGATTACCCAGCTGCTGATCAACCAGAGTTGTACGAGGAGCTCCTTGCCACGGGGCCTCCAACCCTCCCTAAAGAGTACACCCTCAGCCACGTGAGCCGGACCATCATCCCCAGGGCCAACCTGGACCGCAGCACCCCGGCCGGTTGGAACCTCACCGTGGAACCAAACGGGACCTGGGTGTTCACCAGTGAACACTCTCCAGACCAGGTACATGTAGAGGACGTATAGGGATATGGAACTGAAGGTCATTTGTAATAGTTTTGATGTCAGTCTCAGAATCAGAGGCGAGGGGTTCTCTTTAGTCTTAAGGCCAGGGAATGCTTGAAACTAGTTCGCACAAGGCGTCATCCCATCCCATCCAGAATGGGAAAATTTACAGCCCTTCTGAACGACGGACAGCCGAAGCAAAAAAAAAAAAAAAAACCTGCTGTCATTCACGGTGTTGCGCTCTCTCGGCCGTACACACTAAGAGCGAAGGACTGACGAATGTCGACCTCGCGGTGGCACTTATGAGATCACCAGAGTCATTCGGATTCATCATTTTTTGGGAACCATGAATATCTTTATATCTTAATATCTTATCTGACCTTCCGCTTGTGGTGAAAGTGGTGGACCAACGGACGCATCAGCAGACCGACTCTGCCCTCCGTAGAGCCAAGCTGCTGCTGTGGCTAGAAAAAAAAAAAAAAAAAAGAGAACTAGAGTAAAAAAGCTCATATCCTGCATGTCTTCTTATCTCATCATGAGCTTTCAGAGGCTGCTCGACAATTGGACGAAGACTTTGTTTCGACTGACTACAGACTTTAGAGTGCAGACTCATTTTAAACCCCTCGCACTAGTACCAGTTTGTTTAACAACAGTGGCATCAATAAACCATGACGCAAGAAGTACTGCACAACTCTTCCCTCACCCCGTGTCCGTGCTGTGCCGTAATATGTTCACATCATGTTAATGTGTTGTTTAGGAGAGGAGCTTCTCATGTTGTAAATTATAGTTTTTTTTTTTTTTTTTAAGTCATTTTCTTCTCAAAGCAGTAAAAAATTCCTTTATTTTCATTGAACTATTTTTAACCGAGAAACTTATGTAACAGTGGATCAAGTCTGTGGATGATCGAGGGCAGACCTACTACTACCTGAGAGACGGCTCCAAGTCTCAGTGGAACCTGCCCGAGGTAAAGATCCTTCTTCTGTGGTTATGAAACTACAACAGCTGTTTATCAGAGTTGGGATTTTCCCTCCCTTTTGTTTTATGGATTTATTGTTTTCAGACATCAATGTCAATTTAGATTGTGATTATTGATCACATTCTTGCCTTGGGGCCAATGAAAAATAGTTTCCACTTTGTTCATGATATAAAGTAGATGGCAATAATATATCATCCAGGCAAGTAGATATAGATATTTTGAAGGGCTCATGTTCAATTTTAGCATATTTTTAGGAGAATATTAATTGTAACTAAAACTATGACCAAAAAAAAAAGACATTGGCAGTAGCTGAGAGGTGTGTGCAGGTATTCCTTTCAGGCTGCATACATCCCAAACAACTTTATCAATGAGTAAATAAAGGGCAGCCTGTATGTAGCCTGAGAGGCGATACTAAACACTCGCTGCACCACTTGTTCCTCATTTCTGGACTGTGGTGGCTGGACAGTAAGAATTTCAACATGACACTGTAGAAGTGAGGGGGGGACAAGATTTTGAAAATGACCCTCGTCTGGTTTAAGATAAAAAAACAGATTTGTTTGAATTTGTCTTGTCTTCTCTCCATGTTTCAAAGTTTCGTATTTAAATTAAACTAAACTGTGTTGTGGTCCCTCCAGGCCCCTGTAGCTCTTGGTCAGTCCAGGGTGGAGAATGGTGTTGAGGCGGAAAACGTGTCGATCATTAAAAACTGGAGACACACTATGGGACCTGCTCAGCTCAGCTCAGCCCAGGATGATGGGGTACACACTCACACACACTCACACACACACACACACTCTCAGACCTGCATCTACATGTACATGCTGTATCACAAATCCAGGGTGTGTCAGCCGGCTTAAGCAGAAAGTCAGGCAAAAGCGGTGAGGGTTAGTCCCTGTTTAGCAACGGACACTCCCCTTATTTAGCAAGGCAAATTACCTGCAGTGCAGTTTTATTTACAGCAACAGCTTGAGGACAGAGCAGCGGAGGGAGGAACAGGAAGGGCTGCATTTGTAGACAAACACCTGTACTTGCTCCTGCTAAGCAACTCAGCTCTCAGCAGACGTTCGATACCTTGCATGAAGGCACAGCAGTGGCAACATTTAACGCCAAGGCTGGTTTTTATTTCTCCTCCCACATTTAACACAAACGTGATCTGATCCCTTAATAACACTTGTAAGTGTGTCTTTAATCTTTTATCCCTATTGAATTAACGTGTATGTGGACACCTTTTTAAAAATGAACATCTTATTCCAAAACTTATTGGGGAAAGGTTTTCCACCTGGTTTTGGAGCCTGGCTGCAGGGACAAGAGCATTAGTGAGGAGGACCAGCACTGATGTTGGGTGATGAAGCCTGGCTCAGTTTGGTGATCCAGTTTATCTGGATGTGGTTGTGGTCAGGACAAGTTCTACCTCCCTGGGGGACTGGGACCTTTATTGACCTGGATTAGTGCATGTTAACATAGTCACAAAGTTGGAATCAACTAGCATTGAGAACCAAACAGAGGTGTCTACATACTTTTTTCCATTATTTTTGTTCATTATAAAGTGTGAAGAATGGTAGTGATGACAAAAACTGTGGTGCAACTATTATTTTATTTGAACCAGTATATTTATTTTTGTCTTTGTTCGTACAATCACACACTAAAAACACAATCAAGTGAAAAATATGAATGAAATTAAATACAGAAAAAAATTTAGATATCCATAAGTTACTATATTATATATATTTTTATTATTATATGATTTAAAAAAGGTTTACCCAACTGTTCTTTTTTACCTTTTACCACTGTATTAAGAGCTATCTAATATCTAATATCTATCTGACATACTTTTATGGCTGTAATCTAAGTTACATTTTAGATGTCCGGGCCTCATGTTTTCTGAATTATTATAAACCCTAAAATCTCACCTCTACTGTTCCTCTCCTCTTGTTCAGAGGTTCTTCCCGACTCACAGGAGGAACACGTCCGACTACAGCAGCGACAGCTCCAGCACAGGAAACTCTCCAGAGACGCAGCATAACGTGAGTGGAGGTTGTGTCGTGCGCTCACATCTGCTTGAAGCTGAAAAAAAAAGAAGAAGAAATGACCGTCAGTTAGCCATTAATGATATTTCTGTATCTCTCTCTTAAGGCTTTTGGGTTTAGAGCCTGGAGAAACCCTTATTATCTGACCTCGAGGTGGCTGCGCTATAACGTGGGTTGTTAGCTGAGTGTTCACCTGAGCTTGATCCATAGATAGCAGCGTCTATCTATGATGGGGCAAAAGGTGTGACTGATCACTCAAGGACTGTTTGTTGTTGAACAGATGTGTTTCATTCCCCCGCATCAAATACTGTGACCATTTAAATCATCTTTCATTTAGTGATGTATTTCCCCTGCAGCGACAAGCACGTATTAAAAATAGGGAATCCTGTTCTAAAATTACTTTAACTTTGGAAGATGCTGGCTTGATTTGTCAAACTCAAACTGCTGAAGCGTCATTAGCTTCAGATAAAAGCAGAAACAGTTCTCTTTTTTTATCCTCATGATTTACACTGGCATGGCATCAGAGCGGGAATCTTTTAAAGGCCAGTATGAAGGGGAGGAATGACAGCAGCAGGAAAAAACCTCAATGTGAACACGGGCACCTGAGTTTTGTTTTAAGACGGACTTGAAAAATTGTCGACCCCTTAGCAGAATAGTGCTTCTCCACAGCTTTAATGGGCTAAATTCAGCAATAGGTCTTTTAATACAGTCAATGATGAAATTAAGGTGAAAACATGAAAGGACAAGTGTGAGTCCAGAAATCCAGAATCCCGTGAAAAGACCGAAATCCTCCATGAATCGATCCGACTAACACGTATTGTCTGTTTATCCAAAGTCTGATGCGTCATATTCCTCTGTGCCGTAGAGATCCACTGTTTCCAAAAACTATTAAAAACACATCAGTGAGTCACACTGATGCACTGGGTGACATGTTCCTTCCTTAGCAGGAGCGCGCGCACACACACACACACACACACACACACACACACAGTAGTTTCTTTTGACTTAATCCCACACACACACACCGTCCTGCCGCCGGATATACCCACTGAAGTAAACTCACTAAATCTGTGGCTAAAAAAACGCACCAAAAACACCAGCCCAAACAGACGAGACTACATTTTTGTTGATATGTGTGTAGTGTTACTGAAACTACAACTTTTTTTTTTTTTCTTTTTTTTTTTTTAATCACAATTCACCACCACATAATCGAAGTTTGTCTCTTGGGAAAGTCCCCGCTGTGAGGAATTCATCATTGTTCACACTGTAATTGAGAAGTTTGGATGTGAAAGCCACTGCATGCATGGCTTCATTGAGTTTCAGCATTGTCAACAGAATTGTGTGTCCCTCATATCATCACATACTTTGACTTTACACATCAGTTTAACAATTACATATAAACAATACAGAGTTAAAATGTTGTTCTTGTTTTTTTTTTGTTTTTTTTTTACATTTTCAGGTGCAGAACTTGGAGAAAGCTGGAATCCTCAACAAAACAAAAGTGTCTGAGAACGGCAAGAAAGTAAGGTAAATCAAAACTGCCCTTCTCTTCTTTTTTTTTTTTTTTTTTTTTTTTCAAACGTATGACATTCTCATGTTTCAGGGTTTCTGATTTCGGGTGTGTTTGGAGTGGTGTGCCATCTCCCCCTCCCGTAGCTCTCCATGGCTTTGTTCTGTGTTAGTCACATAATTGTTCCCCCGTTTCAGGAAAAACTGGGCCCAGACATGGACGGTTCTCCACGGAGGAGTGCTGACGTTCCACAAAGACCCGAAGTCGGCAGCGACGGGGGCCTCGGTAGGACACGCGCTTGTTAAATAATGGAGAATAGAAGTGTTCATCATGCATTCATAAGAAACTCTGACACCTGAATGCTGCTGCTCTTGCTGCATTCTGTACATTTCTGAGAGGGTTGTGACTCGGTGAGAAGTTACTCACTGACTTTTCTTTATCTTTTTTTCATCTTGAAGTTTCAATACATCATGTGAAACTTTTTTTTTTTTTTTTTTCCATATAATCTACACTTTGGTATCATGTTTCATATTCCTAATAAAGGAAATGTAACATGAAACTGCAGCATAATGCAGGCTGTTGTGGCACCTTTAGCGGTGACAGCGCAGACAAACCCTCAGGTCATGAGCTGACAGTGACAGTGGCAGCTTGTGTTTAACGCAGCTAGCTCGTCTCCCGGAATGCCGTGCCATCAGTTTGGTAAACAGCTGTTTGTTTGTTTTTTTTGTTTTTTTGTTTTTTTTTGCTCTCTTACAGAACAAGACCAATCAGATTGTTCCAGAGGTTGCGGTGGACCTGCGAGGAGCCTCGATCGGCTGGGCCTCAAAGGACAAATCCAGCAAAAAAAATGTTTTAGAGGTGTGTTCGTTTGTTGACATAATGCAGTGTGTGCCTCTTGATGGATGTCTTGAGCAAATAACAGCTTCTCCGCTAAAACATGATCTCATACATTTATGTTCAATTTTAAAGATCTCATATTTTACCCTTTTACATTGTTTTATTTGAAGTGTTGATCCATAAGAAGATATATTTATAGTTTTAAGAACCAAAAACCATCTCAATGTAGTTTTACATCTCCTCTCTCAGGCTTCTCCCTGTAGCTCTAGTAACAACAGGTCGGTGAGCCAATCAGAAGAGAGGAGGCTCAGAGCCTCTTCTCTTCTGATTGGCTGACTGTTTCCTGAGTGATCCAATAAAAACATAGCAGATCTCAGGTAAACACTCAGAGAGACCAAATCCTGCAAGGTTGGATGATGGGTCCAGGTCTGCTGGGCCTGGGGCATGGCTGCTTTGTTGTGACATCACAAAGTTACAGAAGTCCTGGCGGCTGGTTTTGAGGCTCAGGTTCTGAATACAGGCTGTGTGCATTTCTCTGTGGACTGAGCGCTTTGATACTTTCACAGTATTAATATAGAACCTAGAAAAAAAAGACATGGAAATCTACCTTTATACAATATGGGACCTTTTAAATCAACAGTTGGGAGTTCAATTACTAAAAGCAGATAGGCTGTGACTTATCTAACTGTGACTGTAGTGGAAGAAATAATGGAAATAATGGTGCTAAATGAAAAGCAATGGGACCTCTAAAGTTATTACAAGTCACCCTGAGAAGGACATGAATGTCAGGAGCAAATTTCACAGCAATCCATTCAATAGTCGTCAAGACATCACAAGAGAGCTACACTGCTAGCATGATTAAAAAATGTAATTTTATTGACGGTGATCAAACAACTCACCAGCTGTCATCAGATTGACAACTCATATTGGGTCTCATCGCTCGTAGTAAGAGGCCCTTTAAGATATAAGACAAGTATGATGAAGTCTCCTCTTTAATGTCTGATCCTCCTCCTCCCTCAGTTAAAAGGCAAGAACGGTGTGGAGTTTCTGATACAGTACGACACAGAAAGCATCATCAACGACTGGCACAAAGTCTTAATGGACACCATACGACAACTGGTAAGTGCTTCCATTCGCCGTAGTTGATGATTGAAAATCATCAGCATTACACTGCAAAAAGAACTTAAGCTTAACAAGTTATTTCTGTCTGTAATTGAAGTTTGACATTTTGGGGAAGAACACTTTCTTGCTGAGCGTTCAATAAGATGATTATACCACTCTCATATATGGCTGTTCAATGTTTAGCTTACTAATTAACTGCTATATCTATTATCTATAGATATATGCTATATGTGTTTGTTTATTTTGGTTTAGTTTAGTTTTGTTTCCCCCTGCTGGCAGTAGCCTCATATTTAAGACTGACATGTGAGTGGTATAAAACTTATCTTATCTCTTATCTGAATCTGTATAAGAAATGTAATACTATTCTTTCAAAAGAATTAGAGGAGAAAAGGAGTCCGTATCTAAAAACAAGAAAGAATAAAGAAAGTTGCTGCACTCAAATCAAATTAAACTTTATTCATTTAATAAAAAAAAATCTATAAATAAGTTAATTTGCTTTGAAAATAATTCACAATCTCTGTGTTCTTAATACACTGGGAGATTGTGCTCTTTTAAGAAAAAAAAATACACTTAAAGAACTGAATTACAGAAAAATAAAAATACTTGGTAAGTAGTTTAGTATGACTCAGGTTGCTAAATTCAGTTTAAAACATTTGATTGCCTGAACTATGTGATAAACCTTTTCACTCTGAGACATAAAAGTGATTTAAATTCTGTTCAGTTCAGGTTTCTTGATATTGTCTCTGTCTGTTTATCAGGAGTACCAGGACCATCACTCAGAGGAAGAGGATGGGGACTTGTATGAGAAGATTCCCAACACAGAGCGAGATGACAGGTCTGCAGGTGGCATAGACAAGCGAAGATGTAAGTTCAACAAATTCCATTTTTATCCTTCACTGTGAGAGAAAAACCACTTGTGATTTAATTGTGGAATGATTGATGTAATCATTTAGACCTAGATATATTAGGCCCATTGAGAGCTACAGTTACACCCGTTTTAAACACCGTCTTAACACCGCTCTCTGTAGCCTCTAGGCCGACTATCACGCCCTCATCCAGCTCTGCAGGAGACGCAGACCAGAAGAGGGTTCGAACCAAGCTGATGAAGTTCCTCATGAAACGCCCGACGCTGCAGTCCGTCAAGGAGAAAGGCTACATCCGAGGTACTTTCACACACAGACGTATTGTACTGTAGTTCCTTCCGCTTCTTTTTATATGAATAGAAGTAAAAAGAAAATGAACCCAGGAGTGACTGCAGTTTGTCACTTCTACCCTGAACACTAATGTTTGTGATTACAAGCATGTAAACACAAGCGAGTCCAGATCAGATCTTTATTCTCCCATAGAAATGAATTCTTTTGGCAGTGAAGCAGCACAGAAAACATAAAACATAAAGATAAGTTGAGATAATAAGACAATTCAAGATAATGATATGATTTGTTGATACTACACGCAAAATACAGAATAAAATAAAAGGTCCATTACTTCGAGGCTGTTGCTCACCAGTAATTTAACTCAAAACTATGATAATGTTACGCAGTTAATTTTCTGTTTCATATGTTTAAATTCCCCTGGCAGCAACAGGCTGGTTTAAATATTAATAAAGTTGGTGAAGCTATTTTAGCCTTGGAAAAAGTAACTGTTGCGCTGACGACAGCAAACACGTTCTTATTATGATTTAATCTTATCACTATGACTGAGATGTACTGTACATTTAGCTCATTGTGTATATTTTTCATCTTCTGATAGTCATTACACTCTATCTCTGTACATTTATTCATTTTGTACTTATTTCATACTGAATATATTACATGTGCTATATATTATATTTCTGTTTATATAGGCGCTGAAATCTGACGATGTAATCCATACTTTTTTATAATAATTGATGTTTGATAAACAGTCTATACTTACATGTACTAAAGTTGAAATTGTGGTTTGTTAATAGCCATTTTACCTCATTTGTTTAGTTTCTTCTTTTAATGTTGTATTTTTTCAGTGTAAGAACTACATTTTCTCATATTGATTTTATATATCTCTTCTGTCTGATCTTATGTGTTTATAAGGAGTATTAATATTTTCAATGTGCATATCTTTGATGGGATGATAATACCGCTACTAGAACCACTACTACAGTATTAATAACACTAATAATGTTCCTATTCCCTTCAGAGAATGTGTTTGGTTGCCACCTGGGCTCACTGTGTGCACAGGAGAAGACCACAGTCCCTAGTTTTGTGGACAGATGTATCAATGCTGTAGAAAAGAGAGGTAATCCACCTTGTCTACATCAAAGTCAAAATTACACTGAAGTCACTTTGCTGTAGTGAAGCAGTTAACTCACTGGTGCCATATGACGTGTTGATTTCCAGGTTTAGACATTGATGGACTCTACAGAGTGAGTGGGAACCTCGCTGTCATTCAGAAACTACGCTTCAAGGCCGATCATGGTAAACTGCAATCACTTTACCTGTTCACACGTATTGAAACTTGAGAATACAAAGAAAGTGGATGTTTCATAGCGCATGCAAGGATTCACTGCAGTATCTCAGCGCAGACAGCGGCGGCGCCCCCTGCTGTGTTTTAATGGTGAATGCACCTGTTGTGTTAAAACAGAGGAACTGGACCTCGAGGACGGCCAGTGGGAGGACGTTCATGTCATCACCGGAGCGCTGAAGTTGTTTTTCCGAGAGCTCGCTGAGCCGCTTTTCCCATTCAGCTACTTTAATAGCTTCATCTCAGCCATCAGTAAGCAGATGTTCAAAGCCATGAATCTAAAGTCTTTGTTGTTATTTGGTCAAACTACGGCAAATATCTAAATGTGTGTTTAGTGTGAATGATGCAGGTGTTGGATGGTAGATGAGAATATATTTATAACTGATTAATAACTTTTGTCCTGTTTTTCTAGGAATTCCTGATTATAACACAAAACTGCATCACATGTGTGAACTGGTCAGAACACTTCCTGCTCCACATCATGAGACCATGAAACTTCTTTTTGGGCATTTACGCAGGTATACGTCATTGTTTTCTCGAGGCTCACCAAAAAAAAAAAAAAATCAATAACATGAAAATGATGACTCCTCATGTTGTTATTTTATTTCTTCTCACAGGGTCATTCAGTTTGGGGAGGACAATCGCATGACTGTGCAGAACGTGGCAATTGTGTTCGGCCCGACGCTGCTTCGGCCAGAGATGGAGTCGGCCAACATCGCGATGCACATGGTGTTTCAGAACCAGATAGTTGAGTTCATTCTCAATGAATATGAGCGCATCTTCCGCTCCAGCTAAAGCAGTCACAAGCCTCCAGTGCAGACCTGGGCAAATGTCTAAATGTGCTCAAGTTATTTGAAGTGCTAGATTTACCTTTTGCATGCACATAAACAGCTTCGGTGCAACACCTGAAAATGAAACTCTTCTTGTAAGATAAGCTGAAGGGCTTTTCAGGTTTTCTTTGCTCGGAATATTTGAAGTTTAATCACTTGAAACTTTATAGAGGACTCTTCAAATAGTCTTTGCTGAGAATATCTGAAGCATGTTTAACCATTGTTTTGTCCAGATTTACTCCATAGGAGGCTCACACTGTTAGAACTATCTTTGGCAGTATTGTAGGATTGGAAATTAAGCCACACAGGTGTAGACAGGTGTGGTTTGGTTTCCCGTCTCAGAGCTATTGAGCTTGTTTCTTGGCTGGAAGAAGGACTGTGTCAGTTTGCTCTCGCTCCGAGATTCTAGCTGTCTTAATCTCACAAGTCACTTTCTGGAGATTTAAATTGTTTATTTTAATTTTTTAATTTTTTTTTTTTGTTTCAGTTTGTCTAAATTGCAATTATAATAGAACCCAAGTCAAACCCAGACGGATGCATTAATTCTCTCTTTAAAAATGATCAACAATTGCTTCCATCTTTATTTTAGAAAGTTTAATGACTTTTAAATGTTATTTTGGATTTGAAGTTAAAGTATATCACATATTGCAATAACTCAGATTGTATTCTAATATTGCATTTTTTGTTTTCAGTTTCATTTTTACCCATGGATTCTTTTATTGTAATATAGAAATGTATAAAAAAATAAATATTAATACCAATATCTTGCTGTGAAGTAGATGGTGACCTAGAATCCTTGCGCAAACTATAGGTTATTTCCCACTGAATCATAAAACACAATTTTTCAATCATGCTGTACATGAAGAAACTGTATAATGACAACATAGAAATATAAATAAGTAATACATCTTTTTGACAGTTGGCAGTAAAGTCAGAATGATGAATGTATCAGAAAAGTGGATAATAGAAGAGATTTATGTCCTGTATATAGAAATAGATGGCATATTTATGCTGAACATTGTTGACAGTGCACAAGTTATTCAATAATAAAATAACTTTGTAAAAAAGGAAGAGCTGTGTGTTTATTCTTGTCCAAAAGCTCATGAAAATGTGTCTATAAGCAAGCAATGTGCTGTACAAATGGGAGAAATTCAGCTGAAGTTGATGGGTGTCAGATATTTTTAATTCTTCATATTTTGTTTCAACTGAGATTATTCATGAACAGACGTATGTAGTCTATCACAAGTGATTCATAGTGGTGGAAGAAGTTTTTGAGATCCTTCACTAAAAGCAGTAATACCACCAAAGTCAAAAACAAAATGCCCTATTACAAATAATATTGACTCAAAAGCACATATGTGATACCAGCAAAATATACATAAAGTATTGAAATTAAAAGTAGTCACTATATAGAATGCTATTTCCATTGTGTTATTGTTAGGTATGTTATATTGAGTGATCAACTGACTTAGAGTGAAAATTTCAAACCCAGTCTTATTCAGCCTCTTCCTACACATTCTTGCTTTCCCTTAAAAACTTCATTTAAACTTTAAACAGGTTGCAATTGTATTCATTTTTAGACATTAATTCAACTTTTTCACACTCTTCATACATTTTCTTTAATCTCAGATCAAGTTGCACATTACCTGCAGATTTCAGGCCATACATAGAGTAATACAAATTAAACTATGCAGCTCAGTCTTTCTGTATGTACCTCAGTTCAATTGTACTGTATTTTACACTTAATGTGTTTTGTCTTTGGTAAATCTGTGTAGTTAGTCAGAATAATTATTTAATGTCTATTAATGTCTATATATTTGTCTTTATATTTATTTCATATTTTTTGTGTTTTATAGAGTCTTTGGTAAATATGTGTGATTAATCAGAATAATTATTCAATGTCTATATATTTGTCTTTATATTTATTTCATAATTTTTGAGTCTTTAGTAAATCTGTGTAGCTTGTCGGACCCATTTTAGAGGGTGGACGCGCTTCCGGAGGCTGTCAGCTGTGAACACCGCATCAACTGCAATGAGTTTTGAGTGGCCCTGGCAGTACAATTTCCCACCGTTTTTTACGTGAGTCGGCTTTTTCTGAACCATATTTTTGAAACATTAATTATCTTTGCTTATTAGCCTCCGTTGTCTATATATTATTGAATCGAAGTGTGTCGATTTGCGAGCTAGCATTATGTTAGCCAGCTAACTGGCTAAACGAAAGAGCTAGGGAAGTGGATCTATACACCTACTGGCTCTCTAAAGTTCATCTAACAGCGTTATTCTGGTTCATTCAGTGACGTATGAAGGCTGCAAACATGTGAAACACATCAATATATACATAATTTATTATGATGCGGTGTGTTTAAGAGCCCTTTTAGCTGTAGCTAGCTGTTTTGATAGTCATCTTTGCCTCAGTCTCAGCTGTCAGCTACCAAAACACGTTTATAAAGGTTTCCAAATAAAGCGTACATGCCCATAATCTATTAACCAGTGTTAGAACTAGTGACCTATTTGATTATGTAACATGGTGTGAAATTTCAGCCATATACTGTCACTTCAAATGTTTTTTTTTAAATCACGGTCACCCTATAGTTAGTAAGATAGATAGATAGATAGATAGATAGATAGATAGATAGATAGATAGTATCATGACATCACATGAAAAAAAAACACAAGTTAAATAGACCAAGATAATTGTAAGAAAAAAGTGCAGGTTTACAAAACGGTCAAATAGGCTGATATGGATAAACACTATGAATAAATATAGAATACAGTTATTAACATTGACGTTTGTGTCGATAGAACTATGTAGACTATCTAAACAGAGCTGGCAGTAAATCCTACCCCATTCATCATAGAGAATAACAGGCACACCTCTCTCGCACATACTCACCAGCCTGACAATATCTAGAACACCTCAGCGCTGAAATTCCTGTAAAACGAATTTATCATAGACATAGTGGGCGAATACAAGGAACAGAGTGAACAGTAACAGTATAATTTCCTGTGCACTGATACAAAGTATTAACTGTATGTTTTCTGCTGTACACTGGCGACCATTTTAAATTGGTACGAGTGCAACACAGAGACAGTTGAGAAGTGTTATTCTAAGAAGTTCCACTAATAAGGTCAGTGGAAATTGTGATAATATGTGATAACTGGGTTTTATCTCCTGTAGTCCCTTCTCTTTAGAAATGCTGATTATTTCATGTAAATTATTATTAGATAAATGAACAGGGCTCAAACAGAAGAAGATTTAGTAGCCTTCCATTTCCACTATGTCATTGCTGCTGTGTGGTCAGTAAGTTATTGAAAAAAAAAAAAAAAGAAGATAAATAACATAAAATATGAGCAATATATAAAAGTAAAGCGTGACACAGGATGAACTCACTTTTTACTATGTCTAAGAAGTCTAGAAGAGCATATTTGTCTCTCTTTACATGCACTACATTTACAGAGGGATTGAATCTTATCTGGTGTTTGCATTGCTGTCGGCTTGCTTGGTTTGCCCTTCGGCGACTGTGCGTTCCATCTTTTGCTCATCTCTTTATGGACAGGCTACAGCCCAATGTTGACACCAGACAGAAACAGCTGGCAGCATGGTGTTCCCTGGCTCTGTCGTACTGCCGGCATCACAAGCTCTACACCCTGGACGTCATGGAGGCCCAGGAAAGCCCAATGTTCAACAACAAGAAGATAGAGCGTATCCTAACAGTCCACCTGTGGTTCAGCCAAGGCCAGAATTTTCCCCATACATTATGCAGCTTAATTCGGATCGGCTAGTCAAGGGTTTATCGTCTGCTTCCTTTAGTGGGATATAAAAGTACACTTCACTCAGAGGATATTAACGTTGACACACTTTACAATCAGGGTAGGTTTTTAAATGCTTTTTAGTGTAATGTAGCTGTAGTAGCTCCCCTCTTCCTCTGCAGTAGCTTGTGTTGAATTTGAATTTGTGTTTGTTTATGTCTCTTAATTTTGGTGAACATACATTCAGCTGCCATTTTATTAGGGACACCTATCTAAAACTAATACAACAAACCTGCAATGATGATAATGGTAATCCTACCTTTGTGAAGGGTTAGTGTTTACTCAACTCGATGATCACTGCATTGCTTTATACTGAGAGGTGTTTCTGATAAGTTTGTCTATCCTTACTGAATAAGAGGAGTAGACAAAATATTGAAGACACCTCTCACAACACTGTGCAACAGCACCCAAACCTAAATCCTCCAAAATGATCATAAAGGTGAATAAACAGCTTTTTTAAATAAAACTGAACATTATAACCTTTGTGAAGAACCATTGTAGTATGTGTACCTAATAAAATGGCAACCGAATGAGTTTCATTTTAGAAGTCAAGTCATGTCAATGTGATCACTGAAAACATTTAACCTCTATAAGTCAGTTTTTCTGGTGTTAGTGTAAGTTTTTGAATTTCAAGCTACTGCCATCAGCCCTTGACTGAATTCCAGGAAAACTGTCAATGGAAGCAATTCAAGTTGTGTTTGAGGAACTGAGGAAAAAAGGTAAATTTTGTTCTGTCTGGACGTTTGTGCTGTGTTGACATTAAGAATGCTTATCTCATTGTCTCACTGCGGATTAATTTCATTGGTATTGAACTTGTTGTATCATTGTTTTTGGCTGACCTCAGGCAACCTCGAATGGCTGGACAAAAACAAGTCCCGGTGTTTAGTCATGTGGAGACGACCAGAGGAGTGGGGCAAGTTAATATACCAGTGGGTGAGTCATCAAAACTCAGAGACACACCGCACTGTTTGTGAAACTGAGCATTTGTGTTCATTTGTGGAGCTGATAAAGGATAGATGGAAAGCAGAAAGTGTTCTTTAAAGCTATAAATAAGAGGTAAATTGCTGCTGTCAGATCATGTTGTTCAGTATTACAATATTATGATGTTATGAAAACATCTAAGATATTAAGTGGCTAAATTGCACAACAGGGAGAGAACAAAAAGATCTACACTACAGCAGGTGACTCTTGTATTTTTATAAAATAAATAGACATGAAGAACAACAAACTGTAGAATATCTACATATAGGGATTAGGAAGAAATTCACTTACTTACATGATCTGCTGCATGTAAACGTATATTTTTAGGTTACTTCGGCTCATTTAAACCAGAGGAGTGTTTCATAAAGGAGACTCAGAGGCACCGGGACCAATCTAGTCAAGTTTTGGTTTAGTTCATGACGTTGAAACACCGACCAAGCATCAAGTGTAGAAAACAGACGTTAAGACAAAACTGCAATGTCTGTGGCTACAAAGCAACATATTAAAGTTATATATTACAACAAAAACTAACAATCACTGCAATAAACAAAGCAAAAGAGAACTTTTAACAGCAGGTTGTAGGTCAGCAGTGAGAAGTAGAAGTACAGATGAACTGAATGGCTGTAGATGTAAAAAAAAAATTCAACTGTTAAATAACTTTGAGTTGTCAAATAGGACAGAGTCGTGTTGTTGTACTTACCCATCGCTCTGCATGTGCTTTTCAAAAAGCTTTTAATATTTTTAAGTTTGAAGAGAGAGTGCTGAAAGGATACATCTGGTAATATACTTCAACAGATACCCCTCTACCAACAAGAATTTGTATGTTTATGTTATTCCTCTGTTCCCTAGAGCACCGTTGTTGTCCAAAAACTCTTAAAAACACCGTCCTGCTGCTGTAAACACTCACATTTGTTTTGGTCCTTTTGTGCTATGTGTTAATACCATGAAAAAAAACCCAACAATATAGAATATACCAGCCTTACATTTCAGCAGTTACAACTGTCACAAGGAGTGTCAAACATAGTAGATAGGCTGCGCGCACCCCACCAGGTAGAAACATCAGCTGGATGATTTACCATGAACAGACCCAGCATTCTTCACGTCTGATGATAAAGACCTAAAGTTTGTTAAAAGCTTATTAATGCTCTATTTATACTCATGTGCTCCAGGTCTCAGCCCTCCAAAAACAAAACTTGTAGCAGAGAACAGGTGTTGTGTTCAGCCATGACCGTTGCAGGAAAACACCCGACATTTATCACATTATTTAAATAACTTTGATGTTAGTCAGTGACCATTATTCTGTTTTCTGTCGTTTTAGGTTTCCAAAAACGGGATGGTCAACTCTGTGTTTACACTTTACGAGTTGTCCAACGGTGATGACACAGAGGGCGAAGGTATGGCTCCGTTAAAATGCTAAAATGAAACATTGTTTCAAGCTGATTGATTTTGTATTTAATTTAGAGTTAGAAAAATATCAAATATAAGCCCTGTAGGAGTCTGCATTCATTAAGTGCACACAGAATCAGTGATTATCTATTAAATCACTTGTTAAGACTAAGAGGCTTTTATCAATTCAATTAATGTTCCACTTCGAGTGTATTTCCTGTTTTATTTGTTTATGTCCAGTGGTGGGATGTAACTAAGTACATGAACTCAAGTACTGTCATAATGCCGAGGTACTTTTACTTGAGTATTTCCAGTTTGTGCTACTTTATACTTCAGAGAGACAAAATATAGGAAATGTTTTACTTTTTACTCCACTATGTTAATTGACAGTTTATTTGACACCTTTTGTTAAACCAGTAGAGTATGAAGTACCTAAAATTACATGAGGTAATAATATCCCATAATGAATAGATAATTTATAATATAACACTCTAAAAGGTGTTTTTCTGCATAATGAATTTACTTCTGATATTTTATGTACATTTTGCTAATAATACTTTTGAACTGTTATTTCTAAAGGATGAGAATAGTTTTTCTTCTGTTTATTTCACTTTTTTTTATCTATTTCATTATTCTCTTTAATTATTTTTGTACTTTTAGTTTCCTAATTTTATTTATTTGTCGTCCTGAAATGTTTCAATCTCGATGTTAACCTTTAAAGCACTTTGTAATATTGTTTTGAAATGTTCTGTACAAATAAAGTTTATTATCATTATTATTATTGTTATCATAAACAGTAATTGTTTGTTGTAATTGTACCTTCTGACATAAACTTTAGTGTTTTTGTTTTTTCCTCCAGAGTTCCACGGTCTAGAAGACTGGATGCTCCTTCGCTCGCTGCAGGCTTTGCAAACAGAAGGCAAGGCGGAGATCATCACCATGGACGACGGGAAGGGCGTCAAATTCTTCTGAAACGGTGCTGGAATCACACACACTCTGTCTGGGAGCCCTCATTCTGTACCTTACAGGCAAATGTTAAGATTTAGCCATTTACGGCTACACAAGGTGCACCTCGTTGCCCAGCCCAGAGGACGCTGGTCCAGTAAATGTTGTTGCCTTTTGGTTCGCCCAGTTTCAAAGCCTTTTCTTATTGGAAGAGAACCAATATCATTTATAAGTGTTTGGGTGGGAAAAGAGCATTTGAGGTGTGACGGGTAACGTTTGTTGCCATTTAAACATGCAATGAGTCTATCAGGGGTCTAAATATATATAAATCATATCTGAATACTTTAGGGGAAAATCCTTCCCCACCAGCTGTAACTTTACTCTTTCTTTATTGTAAATAAAACTAGTTTTATGCCAATTTTTCCCTGTTAACAAATTTACGCGGTATAATTAGCTCTGGACCTCCGCTCGGCTGTTTTTCCTCTGTTCCAAAGAAATCCCAGAACACAACACCAGAGGGACTTTTTATTTTGAGAATAAATGCTTCCAGAAGAGGAACACCGGAGAGACTTGAACCACCAATCCTGGCTCCACTCAGCTGAGTGTAATGATAGTGGACTTCATGTACAGATTGCTGTCATCCTATTATTGTGCAGTATCTACTGTGACACTCCTGTTATCTCCTCTCTCTCTCTCTTTCTCTCTCTGTCTATATTCAGTTTCTTTTTTTCATATCCTGTAGGAAAATAAATTAGAAATTTGCTAATTTTGTTCCTTTCATGTCTCTGCAGAATGTTTGAAAATGCGTTAACTTCCATTTTAATCCCAAAACTTATCCACTTCGGTGATGTGTGGAAAAACATGAATGATAATGTTAACAGCGCCCCGCAGTGTGTAGACGTGCGGATTCAAACCACAGTGATGGATGTGCTCTACTTTCTGCCTGCAGCTGTACAGAGTGACTGAATGGTCCACTCACATCATGTGCTGCCGTGTCCCAGCCTGTAGGGATGATACAGCTCCAGGGAATCCTGTGTGTGTGTGTGTGTGTGTGTGTGTGTGTGTGTGTGTGTGTGTGTGTGTGTGTGTGTGTGTGTTTGCTGATAACACCCAGTGTGTGCTCTTGTAGGACAGGTGGGGCCCTGTGTGGCCTTGGCTGATAGAAGTGTCCAGTTTCAGCAGCAGTCCTCTGTATGGCTCCCTCTGCAGGTGAGGCCCGTCCGCTGTCCGTCCCCCCCCCCCCCCCCCCCCCCCCCCGGGCTGCATTCAGTATCTCTCACTGAGGCTAATCAAATGAAGGCAGATTGACACAGATTGAGAGGATGGTAGTGAAATGTTTTTATCAACTTTAATTCAGAGAAATCTGAGGAGGTGACGTCTTGATCAATGAAGGGCCAGTTGGAGGAGGAGACAGCCTGTCCTGCTGCTGCTTTTGCGTACAAGCTGTGAGGTGAACAGCAGATGGACACCGGCACATGTTCAGCTGATCAATACAAAGAAATGCCAAAAAATAATTGTATCGATCCTCTCTGAAACTCTTCCCTTCTTTTCCATCTTACATGATACTGCTCCAATTTAGATTTTTAAAGATCTTTTCGGACACCAAATATCCACAACAATTAAAACATTTGAAGGAAAAACACTCGAATCAAATGTTGGTGTTTTACAGAGCATTAGTTTGCAAACACTCCTCAAGTCGTTCTGTAATTACTCCCTCTGGCTCGTCCTATTATCGCGTCAAAGCTGCGAGGGGCGGAGTTGGGAGCGCGCACCGGGAGCGCACAGGACGCGCAGCCCTCCGGAGCTTTTGTTGATATAGGCAGCTCCGTCCTCTCAGCGGAGGTTATGGCTGAGGACTTTGCAAAGAGAGGAGAAGAGAACAACAGGGATTATTTGATAGGAACGATGCGTTAAAGTGCGTTTATGTGAGACATTTCCTACACAGCGGCTGTGATGTGTGAGTATGTTTTTATTTTTCTGTCTTTTATAAACTTAGAGGATATTTCTAAGGTTTGCTTTTGCTACAGGTGAAGGCAGCTCTGATATTATAGTGAGTTTATGGTTAAATCTGGTCTTGTTAGTCGTGTAACAGCTCTGTTGTGTTGTGGTCAGCCTTAGTTTAAAGACACTGACTCCACTGACATCATGGAAATGTAACGCTTAACTTAAAGTAACGGTGCTCTGTTGCCCCAATGCCATTTCCACATTTAGGCTCTGAATCAAGAAGGCGTTGAACCTGCTACAATGTCACACGCACAGGTTGAGATACCAGGACGCGGTTTCCCAGGCCTCTCTATGGATATGACCGACGACTGTTTATCCAGGGTGCCATCCGTGCTGAGGACGCACGGTTTGAGCGCGCGGAGAAACTCTTACGGGCTGCAAAAAATCAGCATGGACATCGATTCGCCTCTATACAGCGGCGCCCTCTCCAAAGCCTTGTCCTGGTCAGCTGAGAATATTTTAACTGTGCCCGAGTCCAGAGCGGAGGACGAAAAAACTGACGAGTCTCCGCCGTCTCCGTCTCCAGTTTCCAGCCCGGGGACCAGCTCCAACACGCCCCCGTGCAGCCAGGAGCCCGACGCGGGGTCCCTCACCGGTGACTGGGATCCCGTCCCGAGATCCAGCCCTCAGGACGCCAGCTCGGACTCCGAAAATGAACTTCAACACAAACAGCACAAGATCTTGTCTCGCATCACGTTTGATACTCAGTGGGAGCAGGAGGAGAAAGAAGACGTGGAGACCAAAGCGGTGGCGACCTCACCTGATGGAAGATATCTCAAATTCAACATAGAGATCGGAAGGGGATCTTTCAAGACAGTCTATAAAGGGCTGGACACAGAGACTACAGTGGAGGTGGCGTGGTGTGAGCTACAGGTAGGATGGCTTGTTTTTACATTTCACTTTAGGCCAAAAGCTTAAGTTTCCTTAAAAGGCTGTAAATTGGAGCAGATCAGCCACATGTAGCTTGTTTTGAATTAGTTTTTTATCAATTAATTAAATTCTGATAAATATAATGATAAATAGAAGTTTTCAATTTGTCTGTTCCTATTCAAAAATCACCAATGTTTACACTTCATAAACTGTAGTATGTCTCCCTCTCTCTTCCCCAGCAACAAACCTGAGTCAATTATATAGGTTCATATCCTACTTTCCCTGCTTCCCTGACCCACTCAGCTCTCAAATTCCACCCCCTCCAGCCATCAAGGGTTTGATGGTGAAGCAGCTAATCTACTGCATGTTATTCCTTGTTGACCTTGAGTTGGGCTGTGTCAGGCCTACGCACGGTAACCCAGGTCATCCTGTCAGCAGTCAGCTCCAACTGAACCACTCGGCCCGCCATGATCCCCTCTAATCTCTGTTTTCATTATCAACCGGTGACACCAAGGCGAGCTCTCGGAGTAGTCTCACGTGCAAACTAAGAACAACCGAGAGGCAGCTGCGATGATCCACCGTCAGTATTTGTGTGTGTGTGTGTGTGTGTGTGTGTGTGTGTGTGTGTGTGTGTGTGTGTGTGTGTGTGTGTAAGATAATAGAGCCATATGTGCTTTGAAATGTTTCCACCCTGCAGTGTCCAGCCTGCCAGGGCATCTATGCTCACGTGTAACATGTAAACATCAGGGTTAAACTACTGTTTAAAGTGCTGATGTGAAATTATAGAGGTGTCAGTACATTTTTTTTTTTTTAATGTCACAGTGTTTGGCATGTAGACACCCAGCAGCCTGGGTAGCAGCTGCCACCCCTCTTGCTTACATGGTTTGATAGCACAGCGGGGGATTTAAAGATTTAAGCTTTAACTCCACCGTTAACATTTGCAGCTGTGTGTGACGTGTATCAGTATCTGGCTGCAACCCCTTTAAACCTCAAATTAAGCCCCGTGGCGCTGACACTGAACCACATACCTGCTGGCAACAGTTACTGTTAGTCTGATCGGTCCGATCTTTAAAGATAATTGTAGTTGTTTTAATATGTAGCGTCACATGAAAGCACCGTCTCCCTTCGCTCAGTGGAAGATGCACAGAGGTGATCTTTGTCTTGTGTTAAAGCTCTGCAGGAAGCACCGGAGCACGCAGACAGCCAGGGATTATCTAGGGTGAAGTGAATCTGCCTCCGAGGCCTAAAGCTCCAGCAGGTGGGGACTTCTGCCTCAAGAACCCACCTGTCAGTTCACACAACAGGTGTCTGTTAGGGGGAGGTGGAAGCACAGTCACTCCCTCAGCCTCTGTTAGGCACATATGTCCCTTCACCTGCACTGTTACAACACAGTCGTAGACGTCTCACACCCTCCAGTCAAACACGAGCAGGGGTTCTTCAGTGTGTGCTGTTTTTGACTTTTTAAAGCATCCCCCTGCTTTTTAACTTTTGTGGCCTGGAAAGGTACAAGACACTGTGCTGCAGCTCTGTGGCCGGGGGCCATACTGGAAACAAGCATGCTATTTCATCTCTTTACTTGAGACATGAGCCCAGTTAAGCCCCTTAATCGCTCCTAATAAGCTTAAAGGTGGCCATTGTTGATATGGTTACTGTTGTGATAAGTTAACCTCACGGAGACAGACTCGGCCGCTGTGGTATTTCTCGACCAAAATCACCTCCCGTCCTCCACATGCGCCCCCTGACTGCCTAAACGAACACAAAAGCTGGCTGTTGGTGGCTAAACACAATCGCTCCTGTAATGTTGACGGAGCAGCAGTCGAAGGTGCGTCACTACAAGTCAGGTAGAAATGCCTTAAGCTCTCTTAACTATGTATTATTAAGCCTGAGCTGTAATCTGCAGGCAGTTACGTGGCGGAAGTTCAGACAACATCTGCTTCACCTGATTCCCACTAATAGAGATCATCATTTGAATTAGTCACAGTTCCCACTTCTCCTGTGCACGTTACGCTGTCAGTGTTAACACTGAGCGCAGGTCTGTCTGGGCGGTGTCCACAGGAACTTTTTGTTCTAGCACACAAAAAGTAAACAATACATTTAGATCCTTCCATTACATGCAACACCAAAAGCTCCTCCAAGACGGTATAAAATCCAGACAGGGCTCACGTCACTGCTCATAAACCGACCAAATGTTTATATCAGGACTATAATGCAATAGAAAAGTAACCAGTCATTCATCCTGAAGCTTGTTTTGGCAAAGTTTGAACCCTACATGGGTCTTCCTCTGGCAAACACTCGTATTAAGGTAATAAGCTTTATATAAAACATCTTTTTTTTTTTATCCAACACCTATCTCACTGAGGTGTTTTGGATGTGCAGGACTATTCCAGCCTGTTATACTGACGCTAAAACATGCACGTATAGTCATACTGCTAAAAGAGGATTAGATACTGACTGACTGATTGATAGTATTGCATGGATCCTATTATTTTTTCTCATTACAGATATACCAGTACCAGTGTATACAGGAAGTCAGCTGATTAAATCAAGAAATGTCTGTACAGAAATACCAAAGACATTATTAGATTAATAATATAATTTAAATCATATGTTTCTATTATTATTTCTGTGACTCGTTTGGGGATGATGAGCAAACTATGAGATTCTCAACCTCTGCAATCCCTCCCTGTTTTTCTTTCTCTAGAGGAAGCGTACATGCGTAATCGATGCAAACTACATTTTAAAACTGGAGGGAAAATATCAGAAATTCCTTGGCCATATCAACTGACAGACCACTCTGCTTTTGATAAATGAACAGCAACTTTTGAAACAAACTACCTTAGATAGACTCTTGATGCCAAATGTCCACTCATCTTGAGAGCTTTCATACAGGTTTCATACATTATTGTCATTCTTTGAGAAATTGAAGACAGAGACTGATGTAGTTTTGTAAAGGTGGAATCTCTTTAATTTATCAAGAGCTTAACTTTAGAGCTATAAAGACACGTGGCTGTAAATTTAGAGCTGCTGGTACTGTTGCTAAAAGAAGCAAGACGAACAAAAAAAAAAAAACTTCCCAGGTGGCAGCTACCTAGCAACCCTTCCCCCCACAGGCCCACATGCGACTCAGGTGCAGTTTAGTCAACATAGACTGAGCTTCGGAGGAAATGTAGAGGTAATAAAAAATACATGAGCCATTGTATGGTTCCCTCCCATTTCCATTCATCGACCCTAAAAGAGGAGATTACAACTTGCTGGATCTCTGCTGTCGTATGTCATTGTCATTGCTTTGTGCACAAAACTGCAGCCGATATGAAATGCTGATCGTTGTGTGGACCTGGCCCCAGTTTTTAAAGGCCATATTTTGCACAATACCTGATCTTATTCAAGGGTGGCAGTTTCCAGCAGTTTCCTCCATCCTCCATCCTGCAGCAGACAGCAGGACACTTTTATACTCCCATGTTTCATCTTTAAACTCTGTAATCACGTTCTATATAAACAGCCTCACCATGCTCTACTTCCATCACAGCTTCCTGTATTTTCAGTATTATCAGTGTTCATGAGGGACAGGCTTAATGCAAGATTGGCTTGGGTGCATTTAAAAATACTGCTGCACCCAAAACCAGTTAGCCACTTTTGATGCATAAATACAGTTTTCTGTTAATTATGACATACCGAGTTGTAAAAGTTGGTGCACTCCTTGTGTGGTCATGGCTTTGTAGATGGTCACAAACTTTTTTGGGGGGGATTTTTTTTTTTTTTTTTTTTTTTTTTTTTTTTTGGCTAATGAGAAGATTTTATTGCGGTTTCCCGAAACCCATAAAATCAGTACACCCTGTCTCCTGCAGATACTACTCGCAGTGTGTGCTATTATGTGTGCTATTATTACTCATTTGCTCACTGGCACTGTAAGTAGATAGCTTCAGTGTAATGAAGTTTTGCACAACTGCAGAAACAAGTCCGCTCATCCAGTGCCTGCTATAAACTGTAATGTACAAGTGAGTGCTCAAACAGAGGCAACAGCAAATATCGAAGCATCACTTGTATGATGCAAACCAGATGTAGTAGAAGTGATTGTAGTTTTTGGTGAGTCTGGAAAAATGTCAAACACAGAAGATGCCATTGAATTCCTGGTCGGATTTGTAATCTTGCTCCTAGCTCCTAATTCTGTTACGTTTACTTTTTACTACTTTACTTTAACTTTTACTCTTCGATTGTATTTTGTTTTGGTGTCGTTCAGGCTGCTTGTGTTTTGACAACAGTTAAAGGAATAGTTTGACATTTATTCACTCTCTTGCCGTGAGATTTCCACCTCTCTTGTGTCTGTACGCTCAATATGAAGGTGGTTAGACTCAAAGAGCAGAGAAACAGCTAGCATCGCTCTGTCCAGAGTTACAAAACAATCTGCAAATCTGTCCACTGATTCTTAACATTTAGCAAATAAGTGCATTCCCCAAAACGTCGAGCCTTGGCTTCTTTTGGTAAATTTTAAGAAAATGGGAGAAAATCAAAGTAAATAGTTGAAGAAAGTATTGTTTTTCTGTATTGATAGTGAAACTGTATCAGCACTAGTATCTGAGCATGTGATACCCAACCTCACTCATCATTTGGTTTCAGTTTTGTCTATTTGTCTCAGTGCTGAAGTTATTAATGGACACAGTTAATATTCGGTTCATTGTTTTAGATCCACTGGTTCCACCTGCTCATATGTTTTTTAAGCTTCTGGTGTTGAGAACATTTTTGATAATAGCTTGACAATTAATCTTGATTTATTTTTTACTTTAATTGACTTGAAATTTAAATAATGCATGAAAAAAAAACTAGTGCTGAAGCAATTAAGTCATTTAATTGATGACTAATGGAAGAAAATAAATCGACAAAACAAACTGAGATGTCCCCCTGACCTCTGGGTACTTATGATGGGCATTTTTCATAATCTTCTGACATTTTAAAAACTAAACATTGCATTGATTGATATTAAGTTAGTTGCGGCCCTTATCTGTTTG